ACTGTCGGATTTAGAGTGCAAGTGGGCACGGGGGAGTCGGTTAAAAGGCAGGGTCTATGTCGAGAAGTGACATTGAGTTTACCGCAACTAACCATTATAGAAAACTTTTTGCCATTGGAGTTGGGGGGGTGGATGTTATCCTAGGCATGCAGTGGTTAGAAACGTTGGGGGGTATGCACGTGAATTGGAAGTCCCAATTGATAAAGTTTCGAATTAGGGGGGAGGTGGTTACATTGCGGGGTGACATGAGTCTCTCCACTACTATGGTTTCCCTCAAAGCGATGTTTCGGACCATTAAACATGAGGGACAAGGCATCTATTTGGAGTTACAAGCGCTGGACGTGGAAAAGAAACAGGACCAGCCACTTCCTGCCCAGATCAGTGCCCTATTGCAGCTTCATCCACGAGTTTTGAACATGCCGGATGGACTCCCTCCTCACCGATTGCGTGATCACCGTGTTATTCTACAACCGGGCACCACCCCCATTAGTGTTAGACCCTACAAGTATCCTCATTTTCAGAAAAACGAGATTGAGAAGTTGGTACAGGAGATGCTTGCGGCGGGAATCATACAACCAAGCAACAGCCCATTTTCTAACCCGGTGCTTCTAGTAAAGAAAAAAGATGGTAGTTGGCATTTTTGCGTTGATTACCGAGCTCTCAACAAAGCTACAGTTCCGGATAAGTTTCCTATACCGGTGATTGAGAAGTTGTTGGATGAATTGTTTGGGGCTACGATCTTTACCAAATTGGATTTGAAATCGGGATATCACCAAATTCGGATGTCCGTGGAGGATATTCCTAAGACAGCTTTTCACACTCATGAGGGCCACTACGAATTTTTGGTTATGCCTTTTGGGCTAACCAATGCTCCGGCCACTTTCCAATCTTTGATGAATGAGGTACTTAAACCTTTTTTGCGGAAGTTTGTTTTAGTTTTTTTTTATGATATCTTGATATACAGTAAATCTTTGGAGGAACATGTGGGTCATTTGGAAGTGGTTATGACTGCCTTGGAAGATAACCAATTATATGTCAATAAAAAAAAATGTACTTTTGCCCAAAGTCAATTAGAGTATTTGGGTCACATCGTTTCTGGCGACGGGGTTTCGGCCGATTCCAATAAGATTCAAGCTATGTTGGATTGGCTTACTCCTCGCTCTATCAAGGAGTTGCGGAGATTTTTGGGCTTGACCGTCTTTCATGGCCGTTGACACAACAATTGAAGGACAGTTTCAATTGGACTGAAGAGGCTGAGGTTGCCTTCCAAAGATTGAAACAGGCCATGACTACAGTCCCGGTTCTAGCGTTGCCGGATTTCTCACAACCATTTGTGGTAGAATCCAATGCTTCTGGCTTTGGGATTGGCGCGGTTTTAATGCAACAACAGCGGTCTATAGCTTACTTTAGTCAGGTGTTGTCTCCTCGGGCTAGGGCTAAGTCCATTTATGAGCACGAATTGATGGCTGTGGTGTTGGCCATCCAGAAATGGCGTCATTACCTCCTTGGGCGGCATTTCATTGTTCGCACTGATCAGAAAAGTTTAAAATTTTTGTTGGAGCAAAGGTTAGTTGGGGAAGAGCACCAAAAGTGGTTGTGCAAACTGTTGGGTTACGATTTTGAGATCCAATACAAGCCGGGGTCCGAGAACAGCGTGGCTGATGCATTGTCTAGGTGGACTTCTAGGTTGGAGTTGATGCACCTTACCACTTCCGCGCTGTACGATGGAGCTGAAATTCGGCAGCAACTGTTGGGTGATCCGAAATTGGCAGGAATCAGGAAGGAGTTGCTGGGCAATCCGAAGGGGGTGAAGGGGTTCTCTTTATGCAACGACATGTTGCTTTGCAAAGGGCGGGTGGTCCTATCCCGGCTATCTCCTCTCATACCTGTCCTTTTGAATGAGTTCCATGGCAGTAAGGTTGGGGGACATTCTGGAGTCCTGAAAACGTTTGAACGATTGTCTTCTGAGTTCTTTTGGTATGGCATGAAACAGGATGTGATTTCTTTTGTGGCCGCCTGTCAAGTGTGTCAACAACACAAGGCGTCTACTTTGTCTCCTGGGGGGTTATTGCAGCCATTGCCACTACCGAACCTGGTATGGGATGAGATTTCGATGGATTTTGTGGAATGCCTGTCAAAGTCAGTGGGAAATGACTCGATCCTCGTGGTGGTTGATCGGTTGAGTAAGTATGCTCACTTTTTGGGTCTTCGCCATCCTTTTTCTGCAAAGTTGGTGGCTGCCCTGTTTATTAAAGAGGTAGTTCGGCTCCACGGGTTTCCAGGGACTATTGTGTCCGACCGCGACAAAGTTTTCCTCAGCCACTTTTGGAAGGAGCTTTTTAAGTTGCAGGGCACTTCCCTACATCATAGTACAGCTTACCACCCTCAATCGGATGGCCAAACGGAGGTGGTGAATCGGTGTTTGGAGGCTTATTTACGCTGTTTTGTTTCCGGGAAGCCTACTCAATGGTTTTCTGATTTAGCTTGGGCCGAATACTGGTATAACACAAGCTTCCATGTGTCCGCGGGAATGACTCCTTTCAGGGCATTATATGGTTACGACCCTCCTAAGTTGCTGCGTTTTGAGTTGGGCTCCACGGCTAACTCCTTGTTGGAGGAGCAATTGCAGGTGAGGGATGCTATTTTAGAGGAGCTACAGGGCCATTTACTTCAGGCGCAGCATTCAATGAAGAGGAACGCAGATCTCAAGCGTCGGGATGTTTCGTTTGACGTGGGGGATTTGGTGTTCCTGAAAATCAGGCCCTATCGCCGATTCGCCATCGTTCGTTGGCCAAGTTTTCCAATGAAAAGCTTTCTCCGCAGTTTTATGGTCCCTATAGGGTCATGGCACGCGTGGGGGCTGTGGCGTACCAGTTGCAATTGCCTACGGCCGCCAAAATTCATCCGGTCTTCCATGTATCGCAGCTTAAGAAAGCTATTGGCGTGCCTATTCCGGCTTAAGAGGTTCCGCCAGTTTTAGCGCCAGACTTGGAGTTATGGGTGGAATCCGAGAGGTTACTGGCCACTCGTTTTTCTAAGGTTACTGGGCAGCTGGAAGTTTTGCTTCAGTGGCGTCACTTACCGGATTTTGAGTTGTCTTGGGAACTTTTTGATGTCATTCAACAGCAGTTTCCTGAATTTCACCTTGAAGACAAGGTGACTCTTTTGGGGGGAGGAGTAGTTGATAAGCCTTAGCTTAGGCAGATTTACGTAAGGAAGGGTGGGGGTATTGGTAAGGGGACTGAGAGTGTATAGTGTTGTGTGTGTATAGGCTTACGGGGCTATTATGTAAGGAGGTACAGAGGATTAGGATATAGTGAGGGAACAAAAATAAATAGGATGACAGGCTGGAATGCTAGTTAGGCAACCATTGGAGTCTGTATCGGGAAGTCTTGGCATTTTGCTGAGCAGGAGTTCTTTCGGTTTCCAAGAAACCGTTTGTGTAGTTCTTATTGATAATTCAATAAAGATTCATTCTTTCGTTTTCTTGATTCAATTTCGCGAACTAGTTACTCTGAACTTATCAGATTGATCTATCTCTCACACACAAGACCAGACATAGCCTTTGCAGTCAGTGTGGTTAGCCAATACATGCATACACCACGCCAACAACATCTTGATATAGTCTACCGCATATTAAGATATCTCAAGAAGAATCTAGGGAGAGGACTATTCTTCCGGAAGAACGAGGATAGGAAGGTGAAAATCTACACGGATGCAGATTTGGCAGGTTCTGAAGAAGATAGGAGGTCGACATCCGGGTATTGTACTCAGGTTTGGGGAAACCTAGTGACTTGGCGTAGCAAAAAATAGGTTGTAGTTGCAAGAAGTAGTGCTGAAGCTGAATGTAGGGCTATGGCTCATGGAATTTGTGAGGCAATTTAGATAAAACGACTACTGGAAGAATTAAGAATTAAGTGTGAGTTTCCTATGCAGCTCTATTGCGACAACAAGGCTACGATTAGCATAGCACACAATCCAATCCATCACGACAGAACTAAACATGTGGAGGTGGACATGCATTTTATCATAAAAAAAATTGAGTGGGATAATCAGTGTTGGATACGTTCTTACGAAGCAACAAGTGGCTGATATTCTAACTAAAGGACTGCACGGACCAACGTTTGAAGAATTAGCAAGCAAACTCGGACTCATAGACATTTACGTCCAAGCTTGAGGGGGAGTGTCGACATATTAAGGTAGAATGGTCTAATCATATTTTATTAGGATAAATCAGTTTGGAAGATTTTGGATATTCAAATCTTCCCTTATCTTCTCCTAGTGATAATCCCGGTTGGTTAGGATTAGCAATTAGTCAATAAAATCTGACTTGAATATTAAATTCGAATCAGTCACTTTATTAGGAGATTTTCTTCCTTTTTATTCGGATAAGCCCAACTAACCTTGGCTGTCTATTTATTTGTATTTTCACAACATTCAATAATATAGCAGAATATTTGCTTTCAAATCTACTTTCACTTCTACAAGAAAGTGATCTGATCAGATTAGAACTCAATATAGAATAGCCAAGAAGCAGGTACAAGACACTTTATAGATAAGAGATGAGCCTCAAAATTGGAAGTCACAATAAACAAAATTTTGAAATGAGAAGAAACTGTTAGGATCCTAGTTGAGTCCCACATTGCTAAAAGTATAGGCTTAGCATGTGGGTTTATAACCACTTGGGCACCCTCTCCCTACAAATTAGCTTTTAGAGATGAGTTCTACCCAAAGGTTATAACGAAAACATATCACCAATTGCCTTAATTATGTTCTAAGTTGAAAATTGAAATAAGAATACCAACTTTGTTATCTTGCTCGCACTGCCAGTTAGAGTTTAAGGGTGAAATATCAGAACTTATCAAAAAATGTGAAAATATCCATTTCCAGAATCTAAATCTTCTTTGCTAGTTGTTTCATACGGTGCCTCTGAATCATGGAAAATGAAATAACAATATATCAAAGTTAAGGCCAACTATTACAATCTGGTTATCAAATACCTCTCGTGATGACAACATTCGGCCATTCCAGAATCAAAAGTTCGGCAGAGCAAGTTGTATGAGTTCTGTCACATAAACAACTTTCTTCAGCTAAATCTAGAGAAAGACAGAGGAACAAGATCACCAAAAATAAATAAATAAATAAAGGCCTCAAAGATTTGAACTGAAATGATTTATAGAACCTGCACAGATATTATTTTTGGATGGCAAGGGTCTCGTTCAGCTGCCTGAACAAACTTCATAACACCATATGGTGTTTCATTGCTGAGACCAGCATATCTGATCTGCAAACATAACTTTCCTTCTTACTTGGAAATTCCATGTACTTGAAATGTAACCGTAAAGGCACAAGCCATAGTGTCAGACTTACCTTTCCAGCACTAACAGCACTACCAAGAGCATCGAGTTGTTCCTCTATACTAATTGAACAAAATTGCCGGGTTGGATCATAATCCGTTTCTCCAAACATGGGGACATGGCTACAAAAGAAATAATGAAACTGAATCAATTGAAGCGTCATCAACACCCCAAGAAGCATCGAAACAACAGGTTTATTAAACTAGGCACAAAGTAAATCAACTGTCTGCCTAGATCCAAATCAAGGACGGATCCACATACAAACCGATCAGGCCAATGAATCTGATAAAGATCAATGTAGTCTGTCTGCAGTCGCAGCAAACTGCATCAAATCAAAATAGCCATCAGACAACACAAAATCTTCAAGCATGAACTACAGGGAAAAAAAAAAAAAAAGCATGTTCATCTCAATTCAAGCTAACAAGAACAAAGTGCACAGAAAAATTGGAACACGGTATACTGGGAAAACATGTGAAACCTATCTATTCCAGCACTCTAGCTCAAACGACAACTTCACAGTGCAAAATAGCACATATGAAAAACTTAAAAAAGGAAATCCAACCTATTGTCAATGGCGTCTGTGATATTTGTGGCATCCAAGCACTCTGGCCCTCCTCGAATCCAAGTCATCTGCCCTGATGGTCCTGAGACCTGCATCAAGCGAAAGAATGAAACGTTTGTTTCGAAGCAAAAGCGAAACAATCGGCATTATCAAAGTGAGAAACCTTGGTGGCCAAGACGACGCGGTCGCGAGAGATCTTGCGGTCACGAATCCAACGGCCAAGGTAGTCTTCGCTCCGTCCCTGAGTTTGGGAACGCTGAGGAACTGGATACCTGCGAAAATGCAATTACTGAAACCCTAGAAAGGCTGATTTTGGAAGGAATCATTATCGTATGGAGAGGAATTGGATACATTTCTGCGGAGTCGAAAAAGTTGATTCCGGCGTTGGAAGCTTGGTCCAGGAGGCGAAACGACTGAGAAATCGAGTTCTGCTCGCCGAAAGTCATGGTTCCTGAAAAGGAGTTTTCGACACAGTTCGAGAACGGGTTTCGGGCGGGAAGAACAGAAAATAAAAAGAAGAGGAATGAGGGAAAGAGGAGGAACCGAAGCAGAGCCTTGAGACGGAGAGTTGAGGGGCGAGATTGAACATAGGAACCGCCATTGCTGAGGAAGATTGATGCCAAAACTGTGTTCGAAATTTGGCGAGAATCGAGGCGTTGGAGGGGCTTAATTCTTAACCGAGGAGCGAAAAGACTTGGCCGTTCACTTCGCTTATTTGAGTTTAGAATTTGAGTTAAGATGTGTTTTATGTAAGAGTTTTTTACTGTAATAAAAAAGTTAAATGTGATTATTTATGAGAACTTTTTACTGTAGAAAAACTCAAATTCTAAACTCGAATCAGTGAAGTGAACGGGGCTTTAGTTTCGAGTTTTTAATTTAAATTAAGACATGATATTTTTTAAAAATTTTTTACTACAATAAAAAAAGTTAAACGTGATATTTTTTAAAAAATTTTTATTATAAAAATATAAAATTAAAATTAAAAATTCGAATCGGTGAAATGAACGAGACAAAAACTTCAAAGTTCAAACTTCATATAAAAGATAAAGAGCCCGTTTGGTTGGAGGATTTGTTATCTGATTCAAATCATGATTCATAGTTCGCTACAGTATTTTTTCTCAAAAAAACACACGTAAATCAAAAATAATTCTAATCCATGAACCAAACGACACATTAGTAAAAAAAATGAACTTATAAAAAAAAAAAGAATTTGTACTAAATATGAAGGGTGGAGTAGGGATCGAACCCTGTAACTCTCGCATGCAAAGCGAGCGCTCTACCATTTGAGCTACATCCCCACCGCTAGACGTTTTACTGATTAAACTTATTAAAATAAAAATCTCAACTTTTACATTACCATTCGGCGACCTTTATAAGGGATTTGATCCATGACCGATGTGACAGAAACCACACACCTTAATTCACACGATTGCGGTTTATCAAGCCTTAAAGACATATTTAGGGCACCGTATTGTATAGTATTGTTCTTTACAATTTATTCTTTGGTTTTACACCATATTAACATGTTATATTATATTATATAATGTTTGGTTTAGTATCGTATTGGATTATTTCCCATGTTAATTTTGTTCATTATTCTCTCTCTTCATTTTCTCCCCACATTTTTTCTCCTATTTTTCTCTCCTCATGTGGTTTCTCTAATACATGGGTCAGGACATAAGTTGGTCATCATCAGAAAGGCCCATGATCTTTAACGCAAGAACAATATCCTTTCCATCGCCGTTGCTCTGCACAAGCCGCTCACTAATTAGCCTCATTTGCTCAAATGATGTAACTTCCAACATTCCATCATGCATATTTTCTGAGCGTGATTATGATGAGGTAGGTCACGTGTTTTACATCAACTTGCAGCTAGTAAAAAAAAACAAAAAAGAACAATTTTGATTATGATGAGAATCAATGAGGTAAAATGAGAAATTTTTAATTTAAAAAACAACTAACATAACATCAGAAAGAAATTAACATGCCACTTCTCTTCTCTTCTCTCTCTCTCTCTCTCTCTTTTTCTGGGCTACTGATTAAAAGTTAACATGGCATTCTAAATGTGAATTTTCCCTAACCTCAATTGCCAGCACCCTGCCAATGGATGCTTCGGATTCATTCCACTTCATCTGAGAGCAAAGACCATTCTTTTCCACCAGCCCACCAATCCAGAAGGCCAAGCAGCATTTCAAGAAGACCAACCCTACAATGTTCATGCTCATATTATCATTGCACAGAAGATAATTTTTTAAATTATTAAAATTGTATGATAAATTATTCCAAATCTGAGCATCCATGTAGAACTCCCATGAGTATACATTATCAGAAAACATTGCAAGTTCGAAAGAGAATATATGCATGCGTCTATAGGTGTTCAACCCCTCTGTTACTAGCTCCCTCACACACATATGTTAGGGTCCGTTCAGTTCGCTGATTCGAGTTGAGATATGATTTTATGTGAGAGCTTTTTACTGTAGCAAAAAAGTTAGATGTGATTGATTCTGAGAGCTTTTTACTGTAGCAAAACTCGAATTCTAAACTCGAATCGGTGAAATGAACGGGGCCTTAATAAATGTAACTCACTTTGAGTCCTTGTGCAATGAGTGCATCCCCAGCTCGATTTCATCAAAAGAAGAACAACCTAAAAACGAAACGAACAAGGGTTGAAGAAGCAGATTAGTATAAAAAGACACCAGCATCATAATGACTAAGCCCATTGGAAAGTAACATCTATAGAGAGTGCTCTGTTAAAAGAATCAAGATCAACAACTAATTACGAATAATATGTGACCTACCTGAGGTGTTCCTGCACTAGTTGCTGCCATAGCTTCAGCACACGTTGTACTAGCTGCGAGTTGATGTAAGACACATAAACAGTTAAGGCATACACGATCTTTTCCTATCCTGTAAAAAACCATCAGGTAGCATCATTTGCAAGTTGATGGTTGTTGACGGTGAAATTTCGTCAACAGGAATGCGCCAGGTTATCCGTTGGTATCTCGCTGGGTTACCGACTAGAAATTAACTGCGTGCTTGAAATTACGTTATGAAGTGTTTGTTGTATTCCTTTGTAGTAAGAGAAGAATAAAAGTTGTGCTAGAATGAAAGAACACAAGAAGTTTTATAGTGGTTCACTCTGTTAATGAATAGCTACATCCACTGGGTTTTTGTATATATGTTCTCTTGGGCTCTTTCTTGGATTACATAGAATCAGCTCTCTATTATTTGATTACATATGAAAAATAGCCAAAAAATCTCCTTCCATTCTCTTTCGTTAAAGATTGAGGATCCCTGCTCATTTGGAGCTTTACCCCTTTTATAGACCAGAGATTACTTCATGGACGGTTCTCCTCGGTAGGCCCATCTCTTGAGTGGCCTACTAGTCTATGAGCCTAGACCCATAGCCTGTCACCACCATTTTCACTGTTCACTCATCCAATTTGTCTCCTATTGTGGCTATGCACATCCCCCTTTAATCCTCTACTGTCCATTAAAGAGTGGTTTAGGGGCATGTAATTAATGCATGCATTACTAACATTCTTCAAACCCAGACGTAACTCCCTTGTCCACTCAGGGGCCTTTCTGGGGACGTGGACGCCTCTCCTCCTTGAAGGGGTTAGCCGTTCGGATGACTCTCCTCCTTGGAGGGGTCGTCTGTTTCGGATGACTCTCCTCATTGGAGAGGTCGGCCGTGTCGTTTCAGATGACTCTCTTCCTTGGAGGGGTCATCCGTTTCGGATGACTTTCCTCCTTGGAGGGGTTCGGATGCCCCTTGGGGCTCCTGTAGATTTAAGAACCTTCTTCATGGAAGCCTCTCCTCCTTGAAAGGGTCGGCCTCATGGAGGCTTCTCCTCCTTAGAGGGGTCGGCCGTTCGGATGCCCCTTGGGGCCTGGCAGGTTTAACCTTCTTCATGGAAGCCTCTCCTCCTTGGAAGTGTCGGCCTCATGGAGGCCTCTCCTCCTTGAAGGGGTCGGCCTCTCCTCCTTGGAGGGGGAGTCCTCTCTTCCTTGGAGGGGTCGTCCGTTCGGAGCCCTCTTCTCCTTGGAGGGGTCGGCCTCATGGAGGCCTCTCCTCCTTGGACCGTCGTGGCAGCACATATTTTCCCACACAACAATGACGTTTGCATCATCTGCATCATTTGTACAGGGAGGGCAGCAAATTCAGACACAACACGACAAAACAATATCAAAACGGCACGAAATAAATGGGTTTGAACTGCATGATTATTTATTGGATCGTTAACGAGCTGACTCGAATAATATAAAAATAAATGGGTTAGATTCGTGCAAATCCGTTTAACGCGCTTAACCCTTTTAGTTATATAAGCCGTTATCAGGACGACACGACACGATACGGCCCGCCCGTTTAAACCCATATACTGATATACTGATATACACGACTCTGCCGCCTCTTTCACAACCCCTCTCTCAAACTCATATTAGAGATTTTAGGGTTTCAACTCTCTCTCTCTACCTCGCTTTCTTCTTTACTCTCTCTCTCAGTCCTCTGATCTTCTTTCCTCCTTCATCTCAATCTCTTCCTTGCACTCACGCTTAGTCGTCGATCTTCTTCTTGACATGTAAAGGGTCTTCTTCTCGACTTCACCTTTTTCTCCTTGGTGTTTAGCTTTGCAGTCGGATTTGTGAGTTAGTTTGTGTATTTTCACACACATATATATTGTGTGCTATTTTTTTCTCTGATTTTGAAAGTCCTCTGTCCTTTCTCTAACCCTATTTCAAAATTTTATTCTTCATTATCAATCAGCTCCTAATTTTCCAGTTACATGTTTTTGCAACCTAATCTTATATGTGTTTGTAACAAGGTAAAACTCTCTTTCTCTCCTTTTCTTTTTCTCTTTTTAATTTTCTAATATTAATTATATATGCATATGACGTACTACATGTTTTTCTTTTTTTTTTTTTTTCCCATTGTGTATTGGTTCGCCTATTTTATAGGAATTCACTTAAACTTGATATATTTGAGGCATTAGTTTGTACTAGAGATTAGCTATTTAAAGATAAAACTATTTTTATTATTTCTTGTTTATTTACCGTCTTAGCTTATGTTATCTTAACCATATAAGTTATTTGTTATTTATAGAAAACAACAAATCGATTCTTGAAGCTGTGGATGAAATTATTGAAGATGTTTTTACTTTGAATATTAATGAGTCAACTTCTGATTCATCTTAAAATTCTCGCAGCCTCAACACCTCAAATGCAATGGAAGATAACATGAATTTTATTTATATATTAACATTCCTTGTTTAGTGTATATATATATATATATCATATATAATATTATAATGCTCTTCCCTATCTATAAACTAAGGCCCCGTTCACTTCGCTGATTCGAGTTTAGAATTCGAGTTGAGATGTGACTTTATGTGAGAGCTTTTTACTGTAGCAAAAAAGTTAGATGTGATTGTTTGTGAGAGCTTTTTACTGTAGAAAAACTTGAATTCTAAACTCGAATCAACGAAGTGAATGGAGCCTAAGTTTTAAAGTAATTATATGAATTGTTTTGGCCAATAACTACATAACTAGCAATAAAACAAGATTCTAAATTCGGTTTGTTTTTTAGGATGACTTTTTTTGAAGTTTCTTTTTTCATTACTGATTTTTTACTCAGTATAGCAGTATAACAATGAAGATTTTTACATTTCTATCTTACAAATAAATTGTGGCATGCTCATGCTATAAACTTCTTTTTATTAATAAAATGTTTTCTTTTTCTATAAATAGGTTAAAGCAACTGGAAACTTTTAGAGCGTAATTTGACATTCAATCTCAAAAAAGACATTTTTCTATATTTATTTTATGTTTTATACACTTAAACATTCAAATGTTTGATCATGTTTTAAAACACACACACATATATATATATATATAATAATCTAGTTGTATTATATATATATATATATATATATATATACACACGTGTGTTTGATATTCGAATATTTTTATGTGTGTTGGCTATTATGAAAAATTTGAGAATTTATGGTTTTTTATTATATAGTCGCCAGATTTTAACTATAAGTGATATTAAGTAGTCAATTAATATTAGTTTTGAATACAATATAAAATTCCACTATTTTTGCTACTTGGGTCATAAATGTTTTTTTTGTGTCGACCCGTCACGGCCCGTTTAGTAACCGTGTTTGCGTGTCATGTCATATTAGCCGTGTTATTAATATTCCGTGTTTATGTTTGAGTTTCTGACACATTTATTAATCATGTCGTGTTGGTAGTTACTATAATCATATCGACCCGAACACAACACGTTAACACGAATTGCTAGTCCAACAGAACACTCAACAATAAACCCCATTGTTGCATAAAAATGACCTAACAGTGGGGCTAAATCAAACTTTTCCTATCATATAAAAAACCTCAATTCCCTCTCTTTCCCGTTCTAAAACCAAAACATAATCCACATCAAAACCAAAACGCCAAAACAAAGGGGGAAAAAAAAAGCCCTTTACTAATCCTAGTGATGTATCTGCAGGGCTCTATTTTTTTGCCTCTCCAAACTCAATGAATGCGTTTGAAATTCGTTCTAAAATAATTTTATTTTTTATATAAAAATAAAAATAAAAACATTTTCAATCTTAGACAAAAATTATTTTTAAAAATATGTTTGGTAGTTTTATCAAGAGATTGTTTTCAATATAAAAAAATCAATTAATATCTCTCTTTCACTCTCTCTCTCGAGAGACGAGAAAACGAAAATAAAAAATGAAAAACAACTAAAAGTGATTTTTCATTTCTTTCTCATTTTTACACTAAACCAAAAAATTTTTTTCATTGCCGTTTTTTATCTTTATTGCACCAAACACCGTTTTAGAAACGTTTTTCATTTTCAAAAAAAGTAAAAAACAAAAACGAAATCAATTCCAAACACAACCAATATCTCCCTTCCAAGACCAATACTACAACATGAACAACAATGTCAAAAACAACCTCAACACACCAAACTTTCAATTCAACAACAGATTGGTTTCTACCCCATTGTACAACTTTCAATTCCCATCTCATCAACAAGTCCAAGACAATCATCAATGCCTTGTAATGGAGTTATGAAAGTTATATTTTCACTTTAAAAAAAAATATAAAGAAAGAAAGCTATATTTGAACACAACTTGTCTGCAAATAACATGATCCATAATTCCTCTTATGCAAACATTTTAAGAAAAACTAGTATAAGCAAAGTTTGGGAACAAATGCATCAATGGGCAGATAATGATGGAGACAAAAAAATAAAAAAGAAAGTGGGGTTTTTGAAATTTGATCAGAGGACAAAGAAATACATTGAATGGCAAAGGAAACAATCGTATATACTTTATTTTGCTAACAATATCTCATCTCCTGAGTAACCAAATATGAACAACAATTGTAAAAAATATTTCATCCAATGAAAGTTTTCATGAGCAACAATTGCAAAACAAGAACCAAATATGTGAAAGACCATACTGAAAACAAATAGAAAATCGAAGTATTTGCAGCCAAATAGAGACGAGGCATATCTAGTCGAATTCACGCAACACACAAGCTGAAAGGAAAATTCAAATTTATTAACAAAAATAAATCCAAAATCAAAGTATTTCCTCTATTCATCTAAATCCCAGGCTACAAAACACCAGCAATCCATTTTTCGGTTATTAAAAAAAAAACAAAAAAAAACAAAAAAAAACAAACAAAGAGAAAAGAGAAGCAAGAAATTGGCATAGAAAATGATGAACTAGATGAGAGATTCCTTAACAAATTCAGAGTTTCGCTATCGGACGACGCTCAACTGAGGCTAAAGACGCTGCGGTTGGTGGATATTCAGACTTTGGGAAAACCCTAGAACTCATAGAAAATGCACAGAAATCTCACTGAAGAGGACACGAATGACGTACAAAAAAGAATAAAATGGAGTAATTGAAAAACCCTACACGAAAACGAAGAACAATTTCAAACAAAATTACCTGTATGATCTGAAATAGAAAAATCTTGGGAGGAGTTCAGAGGAGAGATCACACCATCGAGATTTCTCACCGAGAGATGAATTTGTTGCCGGAAAACTCCATTAGAGGAGCTCGGAGGAGTTGGAGGAGCAAACTCTGGAAGGAGGAGAGGCCGAGGAAAATGTCGAGGAAATATCTAAGGCAAGAGAACAATGTTTGAGAAATAATAGGAACCTAATACAATACAACTTAATACAGGCTTTTCTTTGTATATTATCCAATACAAGTGTGTCGTATTATTTTATATAATACAATGATACAACCAAATACTGTACAATTTTAAAATAACACAATACAGAGTCTTAATACGGCGCGCCAAACACACCCTAAAGGTGTCAAAATTCTCGACTGTAAGCTGAAATCAAACACAAGTGTACTTTCAAAGCATTAACAGGAACAAAACAAAACGGGTGAAACAGAGTTATAAAAACAAGTTTTCTTGCCAAGGAGGAAAATTGAAATGTTCTGAAAAGCACATCACAATCAAAGGATTTGTATCATAACATTGAGGACAGCAATCAAACCACTCAACAAGAGATAAAGTAACCGAGAAAAATTAGTATGCATCTGTATTCAAACCATAAAATAAATTTATCCCAGAATTTGAGTTTACACGGTATTAAAGGGGTCACAAGCCATACAATAGATAAAAGACCCTTAATCTGTTATCACTCTCTAAACTACAACATAAAAGAAAGGAAGCCGCCTAAAATTCTTGTGAAGCAGAACCAATATCGCCTTTCCCCTTTCCGATCTTCTTAGGCAAGAGGTTCTGGTGAATGTTCGGCAAAACGCCTCCATTGGCAATAGTAACAGATCCCAAAAGCTTGCTCAATTCCTCGTCATTACGCACCGCAAGCTGTATATGCCTTGGAACAATACGGTTTTTCTTGTTGTCTCTCGCAGCGTTCCCAGCAAGCTCCAAAACCTGTCAATTGCCATTGTATTTCTCATCATATTCCAATTTGAATCTTATTGAAAATTATTCAAACTCAAGACCTAGTTTTTTTGTGCCAAAGATTCAGTACCATCCTTTCACATCACAGTAACAAATAAGAAAATCGGATTAATTGCAGTTTTCTCCAATATTTCCGAAGATCATGACTAGAAATCTTCAAAAACTCCTAAAACCTTGATTACTTTTTCACCAATCAAACATTGAAGCAATCATACAAAATTCATCCGATGAATTAACAAAAATAAAAAACGCAAAGCGAAAGAAAGAGAAACGCCGAATAAATAAAACCCTAGATTTCCCCTTTTCCCCCATTTTCCCCCCAAACAGTGAATCGCAAACACAATCGCAAAATCAAAAACCAAATCAGAGTCAGAAACAGACCTCGGCGGCGAGATACTCCAAAACGGCCGAGAGATAGACAGGCGCGCCGGCACCGACGCGCTCGGCGTACTTGCCGGCCTTGAGGAAACGGGCGATACGGCCGACGGGGAACTGGAGACCGGCCTTCTGAGACCTGGAAACCGATTTGGAGGCCTTAGGCTTGCCTCTGCCGCCCTTGGTCGAACCAGCGGTGCTCATTTTTGGGGATTTGGTTTGGATCTAGAAGCACAAACCCTAGGAGAAAAATTGCGGACAGATTATCAAATTTTAAACAGTGTGTTCTGTCAGCGATTTCTAATGGAGGGTACCTGTGGGAGAATGTTGTATTTATATAGAGAGTGGTTTGGAGAAAATCAATTGGGTGCTTTGATGTAATTGGTCGAGGAGGGAAGGTGCGGATTGCCAACGTGTAAAAGTGGTTTCTGTTTTCTTTTTTGATGACTGATGTTTTCGGTCGTCTTCTTGTAAGAAAAGGAGAGAAAATCATTGGAGGGAGGGAACGGTGCATGTCCATTCATTTTATATGATTTAAGTTTAAAATTTAAATTTTATTATAATAAAAAAATTTTAAAAATAATTATGTTTAATTTTTTTATTATAATAAAGTTTTTTTACATAAAATTATATCTTAATTTAAATTAAAAATTTTAATTAATAAATTAAATGAATTCATAATTAATTTAGGCCTACGAACTAGAACATCAGGCTTTATAGGAGCCCAACTTGAAACCCATAGCCAATTAGCCATGGTGAATGACCCATGTTTTTTTAGGTGATTTAGAGGAATAGGCTATGTTCTCCTGTCTTGTTGTATCTCTGTTGGCTAGACATATGGTCTGAAGACCACCTTAGTTATCTTGTCCACTTATCTTTCGAGAATTGAGAAGTCTTAATCATGTAATGGGAACATCGTACACGGTGTAATTCTTGATGTGAATAAATTTTTAAGGTTTTTCTTAAAATCTCAAAGACTATCTGGATCATCAGGATGATACTGTCTCTTGATTGTCTGAGACTGAGGTCTGCAAGTTCCTTTCTTTTTCCTCCTTCTACTACTCGGACGAGTAAATAATTAGGCGTACTTAGCTTAATTTGCACCTTTTTCATTAGGCGGAGGAAGGAAATAACAAGTTTCCAATACTTAGTTTTTTTTTTTTTAAAAGCAAAACTTTTGGGAACATAAGTAAATATCCAAAATTTAAAAATCCCGAATTTTTAACGCAACAAAAAAAATAAAAACTATGCACCCCCATTTATGTACATATTACTTGAAAGCTTTACATTTATTTTCCATTTTATCTTTCTCCCTCAAAACCTTATGAGAAAAATTTGAACTCTTGTTGTTGTGTGTTGCTCCTCCCAACCGCGATGGTGGCAACATACGGAAAAAAAAATACAAAACAAGACATGTATCATCACAAATAAAGAAAAAGTTAAAAAAAATAATAATTAAAGGACAGATTTTGATAAAGTGCATGTTATCTAATGATTGTTCATGTCATACTAGAAAAATTATGACTTAATTTGATAGTACTGTGAATTTTAAAATAATTATTTTTAGTTGTGCTGAAGGAAGAAATAGCTGTTATAAGAAGCAGCTGAGTGTTTGGTAAACTATAATTATAGTAGTTGTACTGGTTCCAAAATCAGTGTAATAGCGTTTAGTAAATTTTGAGGTTGAATTACTCTAGGTGTGTAAAATGACTAAAATAGATATAGTATGATACTTAAATATATATAATTATTTTTTGTATTTAGAAATACTTGTTTAACTTTAAAAAAAATGCTATGATTTTGAATTTTTTAACAATAAATTTATGATAATTAATTCTCTTTTTTTTCATTTCTTCATTCACAATATAATTACAACTAAAAGGAGCATTAGTGACAATTACTCAGGGACAGTTGCAGTCTTCGAGTTGTGGAATTGTTTGGTGCTCTCTCTTTCTTACAAAGCTTGGCAAGGACAATTGAAGTCTTGATAACGCAACTAAATACCATAATTATCAATTTTGGTAGAGTTCTTTTCAAAAATTTGTAAGAAAATTTTAATATATCAAGACCAATGCTACTGTTGATACCAATATTGATTCTATTTTGAGCTCATATATGTAATGTCATTTCAAAAAGAAAAGTTTCCAAATACAATAATAATTTAATAAGTATAGAAGAATCAGAAGCAACCGCCTATGGTTGTCTAATTTGCCAAATGTTGTGTGGCACTAATATTTGTATATGTATCAACCGACAACATATAGGCAAAAACAAATACAATTCTCAAATCTACACTAACAAAACTTGGACAACCCATGATGGTGTTGGTCACCGAATCGAATTCGGATGTGGAAGCGTGGGGGGAGCGGATCGTGGATAACAAAAATTTTCATAAAACCCTTGAGATACTCTATAGATTATATTAATTTTTGCACGAATAAATTAATCTCATTAATTCATTTATTAAGAACTCAATTACAAATAATACCCGGCGGCCGATTAGGATGATAACTTGAGTTCTTTGACCTCGAACAATCCTTGCTCCAAAGCTTTGTATTTAGAAAACCAATGTCTTCCACGTCAATTCCTAGAATCCACGAATGCCTTTGTGGGGGCCCACATGGGGCCAAACGGGGGAGAATAAACACTCAAATTTCCACAAACACCAACGCATGCACGATGTTGAATTCTTGGAGAAAAATTTTTCCTTCCCTCTAAGAGAATAATTTCGGCCACCCTATTCACATTAGGGCAAAAATTGTTTCAAAAATTGTCTCGAAAATTGTGGACTTGTGTCCACAATTTTCTACTATTCTCTTATTTATAGAGTAGGAGTCAAACTTCTAGAAGGAATTCAATCTCTATTTCCAAGATAAACCTTGTCAATTATCTCCTATTTGAATTTGGAACAAAATCTCCCATTCCCTTATCCTTAGTGTGGCCGGCCACCTTAGGGGATTCTCATCCCTGTGTGGCGCCAATTTGCAGATAGGGAATGAAGAGAAAATCATCATTTATCATGTAATCCAATTTTGACTCAAATTCAAATTCCAATTTAAGTCAAACTTAAATTTATTTGAATTCTAAATTGAACAACTTATCAAATAAGTTTAAATGGATAAATCTAAATGTGTTCAAATTCAAATTTAAATAATCACATTATTTAAATAATAATTAATTCTCAATTAATTATTTTCGAGTGTTTAATTTTAGAATTCTGTAATTCTAAAATTCCCATTTTGCCCTTTGTGTCTTGTAGAATTACTATGACGATGTGGGGACTAATGGACCTATAATCCCGAGCTCCAATAAAATTAATAATTAATTAAACACTTTAATTAATTAATTCTATTAATTTCAATTGTTACTCCACTATAAACTTGGAATTGCACTCTCGAAATTATAGATATAAATTACTTCTAAACTGTGAAGTGTCCATTTGATATAGTCATTGCATATAGATCAATCCTCCATAAATAATTCATAATTAGAGCAAGGTAAAATCCGTTAACCTCTCTAATTACTTCTTTATCCTTGAGTACCATTAATTCTCTAATGGACAGTGATTCATAAACACATTCATGAATCGGAGCTCCTACTGGTCCAAGTACCGAATCAACCCTCAAGAGAATTATTTATCTACTTCTTTCTTACGAAGGAATGGATTCCATCTCGTGTTATAACATTCCCGGCTACCTACTTCATCATGTCTCCAAAATACAAGGAATAGGATTCAGGATCTCAGAATCCGTAACGAGTAAATCAAAAGACACAAATCCATAAATTGGAGTCTGTTAAGAACTCAGGATTAAGATCATTCTATATATGACCATCAGTAGACTCAATTAGAATTTCAATACTTAACGAAAATTATTAGAAATTCATATTGTGTATGTGTACTTGTTCCACATAATCTCATTATGCGAAATACACTCATTCAATATCTCACCATATTAACAGTGCGGATAACACCGTTCCATTCTAAATGGGAATGACATGTATTAATAATGTTTTAATTAAAGATTCTGAACTTTAATTAAATTCATTATGAACATTGCTTTTTTATTATTATCCTTAAACATTATCCTTTCGTATATAACACTTATATATAATGTTTAAGGTTACATAAATAATCACGTAATTTTCATTGATATTCATAAAATATTCACAAATATATACACATAAAATGATGAATAAACTCTTTTATTAATTAAATAATAAATATCTTATTACATCTTATGCTTCTAGGACACCATTCCCAACAGATGGCAAACACTTATAATGATAGCTGGAAACACCACCCAAACTTCAGTTGGAGAGATCCAAACCAACATGCATAATCATCTGGAGGGCAATGAAAATCAGAGCAACAATCTCAACCACCAAGGACATATTTTGTGCCTCAGAATAACATGCAGCCGAAAGGGAATTCTTTAGAGGATACCCTAAAAGCTTTTATGGATGCGCAAAATAAGACAAATCAAAGAGTTGATTCAATGCTCACGCAGCTGGTGGAAGAGAACAAGGAAATAAAAAGTTAGATCACAAAGTTGACAGAAGCTTTAACCGTTCAAGAGCGCGGTAAATTTCCATCACAAGCCCAGTCCAATCTGAGAGGACAACACATGGCTCAAACTTCCAACTCTGAAGGTCAAAATATCAAGGAAGTTAATGCCATCTCTACTCGAAGTTGTAAGAATTTTGACACGCCATCAACAAGTACAATCACTTCGAGTAATGAAGAATCGGCTCAGGAGAAAGAAGAGCCAACAAAAATTTCGGTAAAGGTGCCTTTCCCCCAAGCTCTCCGACCTGCTGGGAAAGTGCCGAAAAATCAAAGTGAGATCCTAGAGCACTTTTATACACCACTTTGGCGAGCTCTCTTTATGCATGTAATGATTTGGGTTTTGTTGACAAAGAAGTCAACGTTGCTTTGGAAGCAATTTTAACACCTTGATTAGCTCATAAGTGCGTGTGTCACAACCATAATATAGGCAGAGATCAAGAGGGGTCAAACCATCCTGCACCAAGTAGGAAATTAAAGTCGATTATTTCTTTGTTTTAACATGATATGATATGTAAAAGAAGGAATTAACTATATCTATCACTATCTTCACCAGAAGGACTTCCAACATTTGAGTTATGCAAGTTATGATAGACTTCTGAATTTCAAAAGAAATATGAAAACTTATACATTTGAATGATATACTAGCGAACTTTGAATGTTCACAGTGCCGACATAGTGCCGAGTTAATTTGTTACAAACTTAAGTCCACATCATACACACATATATACCTACAAACTTAACTCAAATAAAAAGAATT